GACTTGGTGATTTGGATCATTCTTGGTAGGTCTTTCAGTCTCCCCATTCACTCTATAGGAAATCATTGCTCCTAAGCTGTCCCGGAACTCACCCTTAAGTGGAAGACCCTACAGGTGCTTAGGGTAAGATTTGTCGAGGTATTTAGGCATCTAAGACAGGCACCTGAAATGCTTCACAGAAAGGTCTGTGGTGGCTCACTTATTAGTTTCAGTAGACCTAAGCACCTAGGAACTTTTAGAAACCTCACTAGGTAACTATCTGATTGTTTAAGTGCCTAAATACCACGAAAAAAATCTGATACTAAGCTACCACATCTTTCATTTTCTGCATCTATACAATTGTGATACTACCACTCACAGCTGCAAAGCACTTGGAGAACCTCAAATGAAAGGTTTTTATTAACATTTGTTTTATTAAAAACAGATTGTTTTGAAAGAACACCGGCAAGAAAAAGAATAAGCACATTCATCATTTCATGCCGGCTAGATAATTGAAGAAAAGACTTTAAAGACAGATGCCTGGAACTTCTAAGACTTGTGTAAGACTGTGTGTTAGTTACTATTGTTTGTACATGTATTTCTATAGGTGACATACTGACAGCACCAATTTCCAGATCCTGAGCAACAGTACTGCTCTGACAGGAGCAGAACCACCAACTACTATTGCTCATGTGGTGATGGCTTTGTTCTGGTTTCCAGTATGGACAGATTTGCATCTCCCCAGAGAGCAGAACTGCTCATAAAGGAGAATGATACATCTAAAGTCTAAAAGCAATGTAATAATTGTTGTCCTAGAGCCTACTTCTGCAAAAACATTCCAGTATATGCTTAAATCCATCCCAGTTCCACAAAGGACTAAAGCACACAGTAAGCCATGTAAGTTGAATGACTTCAATGAAACCTAGGCAATGCTAAAACCAAGCTCTATTGAAATCATCCTCCCCCTCACCCTCCCTTTTCCCTTCAGATTCATATAGTGCCAACGACTGGAACATCTTATATGGTGACTGGACATAAACATAAACCCATGGAGGAGTGAACAGTTAAAATAAATTATGCTGGTTTTAAAAGATGGAGCACAAAAGTCTCCTATTCCACAGGTTTTCAACCTTTTTGGATCAATGTACCCCCAGCAGCTGGATGCAGAGCTATATACCCCTGGCAGCTGGACACGGAGCAGAGGGTGGGATGGCATGTATCCAGACACGGAGTGGGGGAGCACAGCCAAATGCAGAGTGGGTGGGAGATGGCAGACTGGAGCAGCTGAACGTGGAGTGGTGGCAATCACCACATGTGAGCTTCCCTTGCCCCCAGCCCCTGGCCAGGAGCAGCAGCAGCACGGGATCATGTGTGGTGGTGCTCCGTCCCCACCCACCTGTGCATACCTGTTAGAGTCTTCTCAAGTACTCTCAGGGTATGTGTACCCCCAGTTGACAACCCCTCTCCTTTGCCATAAATAACTTTGTTGTTTGAATGCCTCATTGCTTCCGCCTTTCTAGCAATTAACATTAGCAACAAAACGCTATGACTGGTATTTAAGTCTCCAAATCTATAATGTGTTTGCAATTGCATGAATCTAATTATCTGTCACTCCAAGAGGCTCAGTCTGTGTCTGGTTGAGATGATACCCAAAATGGTACTCATCGAAGAGTTAAAAAGTAGATACTAATTTTCTGCGTTTTACTTTTGTTAATGTATGACAGTTGAAACCTGGACCTGATAACCATTTATTATTGCTAAGAAATCACCCTCACTATTATTGCCTTTGTGTCACCCACACTGTCTTTAAAAACTTTCATAAGCATTGGCTTTGAACTGATGCTGGGTTTGGATTACATTGCTAAACATGGACTTGATGTTTCATGGCTTTAAAAGAATATTGCTAAATGTATTTTATTCCACTGTTTTATAGTTATTGCTTTCACAATTACTGCTCTGAGGTTTAGAAAGTGTTTTACATAATTTTATTTTCAATATATGAAAATAAGATTTCATTGAGGGAAAAAAAGCCACCAAAAATATACCTGGGGAAAATTATTTTTTACTTGCAGACTGCTCTAAGATACCTACTCTGGGATTATGTTACAGTTATTTAACTTTATTCTAATTTTACTTCCTTGAGGAGAATTTTTATTGCTTGAACAAAACCTCACCTGATATGCAGATATGCTTTCCCAATTTAAGTATTACAGGTTTGTTAGTCGTCCGATATTAATAGATGATATTCAAGGGAGGTGCAAACCATCCAAATGTAAACTAACCTGTTCAGATTAGCTCTTCCTATTATTTACAGGAGGCATAAAACCATGAACAATGTAATTTCACGTTACATGGTACAGTTAGATAGAAGGAACTATCTAAAGCCCAGAATCCTGACTAAATTTCCACTCAGTCAATTACAACTCTTCCACCTAAAACTCTCCTTGCTTTTTCATCTGGAAACCTTGTTCTTTACTTACCACCACCTGAAGTGGTGTTATATACTTTCAAAATTCCAGACTCAACCCAGCAAGTTCCAACTGTTCTTATCTGTCAACATCCAATTGATATTTACTCATTATTATCTTCAAAATATGCAAAGCTGCCTACAGCCCTGATTATTATGCTCTCAGCCCACCTTCTGCCTGTTAATAGGCTTTGCTTTAATTTTAAAATATGTCAGTGTTTGGTCATACATTTTACTGGTCTGGTATGTATAGCCTAGTTCTAAAGCATTTTGGGGGAATTAGATAATTCATCACAAGGAACAAAAATAGCTGGAATCAGTTAGAGAGTCAGTGCTTTTCAAGTAGTGGAGTTCCTGCATGGGAGATTATTTTAAAAAAATCAATTCCATTTCAATAATAAAAAATGAATAAATAAAACCTAGATGAAGTGAATAGGCTGCAAATGTCCTTTCTTTGTCATACTGACTTGCCGAGGGCCTAATAAAAAAATGCTTACATGACTGATCCTATCCATCTTCCCTTTATTCTCTAAAGCAAACATACACACATTCTAGTGGATAATCATTAGCCAATCTGTAAGCTAAAAAACAAAACTCACTGCATCACAATCACTATGGGAAGTTTTGTGCTAAAGCAAATCCTTGTAGTCTTAAATTATTTGAGAAACACTTCCATCCTCAACCTCAACATCTCCCAAAGACAGAAGTGCTTCCTTTTAACCTGGTCTTGGCTCAGCATCTCTCCTCTAAAAATCAAAGCAATAAATGTCAGTACCCAAAATGAAAGCACGTGTTCTTGTGAAGCTCCATTTCATACATTCTCCGTACACATTGGGGTTCTTTAAAAATTAAGAGATGTCAACTGAAATTTGGGTGCTGTATCTTCAAGGGTCTGAGGAATCTTCAGCTTGATTTTGTTATTCTCACTTCTACAAATCTTACAAGATTTAAACTAATCAGTGAACAAATGGAACAGATTATATACTGAAAATATATTACAGATGCATGCATGTAGATCAGATGAAATGGGCCGTTGAGTTCAAGTGTACACTGTGTACATATAAACATGTGTGTATATAGATACACAGCTGCACATACTGTTGATCTTACCTTTGTGTTTCTGTGTATAAGTGCTGTACGTAGGCTGAGAACAGTGTGTGTGTATCTATAACTATCTAGTTAGGCAGAAGTTGATAAAGCAGAGAGGAAATAAAGTTAGATACACACACATAAATATTGACTGACTACTGCACACCTTGTCATGCCAGTGTGGAAAAGGGACAGTTGCAGGTTGCTGGTTTTGCAGCCATTAATTTTACACTTTATGAAAAAAAAAGGCTTCTTTAATTCCATTTTTTTTCTTGCAGTAAGCATCATTGGAAGAAGACCAAAGCACAGCAACTAGAAGTTAAATATACACTTGAGCATTACATAACTTTGTAGGAGAAGCAGGCTGAAAAGAGTATTGTTTCATTTAAATCTTTTATATTTTATTTCTCTTTCTTTCCATCTTTTAATTCTTGTTATTTTCCTCCTAAATTATATCATCTTCTGAAGAATGTTGGGTTTCGCAGGCAGGCGGCTAGTCACCTGCAACAACCAAGGGGTCCTGCAGAAGCTTCCAAGCTGCTGTCAGTATCAGATGCCAGGGTCTGGTCGGTGGACATGGAGGAGATGTCATTGACAGAGGAGGATGGAGGGAGGCTTTCGCTGCTGTTCACTGCTGCACCTGTGCTAAGAAAATGAACACCAACGTGATTAAACCTGAAACCCAAGGACTCCCTGCAGCATAAAAACAAATAGCACGTTTTCTGTGGCAACAGGTGTTTGGACCTTTTTAGCTGTGGTCAGTCAATAGGAAATAAGCCAGCTGTTATCTGTAGGGCTTTAAAATGAAATGCTTTCTTCTTCAGGTCTGAGAAAAAAGGAAACAAAATGAAAAATTAAAAAGAGTCTGCAGTGCTGTGAAACTAGATAAGGGAGGAATTCCCAGGGCAAATCACACAAGAAAGGATACCTTGATGAGACTCAACAACACATGCAAAGTCCTGCCCTTGGGATGGGATTATTGCATAAACACAGGCAGACGAGGGAAATGATTGACTAAACTTCAGCACTGCAGAAAAGGACCTTGATGTTTCAAGAACACACATGGTGTGCTCTTGTTGCTAAAAAACCCAACAGCTGTCTTTTGGCTTTTGCATTAACAGAATGTCACTTAAAAATCAAGGGAAGTTATTTTTCTACTCTATTCAGCACTGTCTGGTTTTGTGCCCCACACTTAAATAAGGATGTGCACAGTTGGAAAGAATCCATATCAGAGCAATAAGAATGATTAGGAGCCTGGGGGAAGTTTGAAAGATCTAGGGTGATATAGTCTGGAGGTGAGAAGATTGAGACAGTATTTGATAACAGTCTTCAAATACCTAAAATGCAATTATAGAAAGAATGGAAATGGGCTTTTGTCCATCACCATATGGTAAGAAAGGAGCAATGGCTTCAGCAAAGGCAATTTAGTTTGGGGAATAGGAGGAACTTTCTGACTATGAGGGTGGCCAGTCTTTGGAACAGGCTACCGAGAGAAACTGTGGAATCTCTATTCTTGGAAGCTTTCAAGACCAGATTGGACACTTGATAAGAATGGTTTAGAAAGGGATGAGCCTTCTTTGAGCAAGCAGGCTGGATTAGATAACCTCATTAGGTTTCTGCTAGTGATATTTTCCTATGATTCTGTGATGCTTTGTTTAGTGGAAGATCAAGACCTTTCAAAAGAGAAGTGGGCCATTTATTGTGTAAAAAAGGATTATCTGGAGTCAAAGTCAATATCAGTGTTCAGTCCTTGGTGTCCAGTCATCCTATGAATCTTAGTTCCCAACCTCAACATAAATTTCATAGACATTAGGGCTGGAAGGGCCCTCGGGAGAGCGTCAAGTCCAGCCCCCTGCCCCAAGGGTAGGAAGTCAGCTAGGGTCAAAGGATAAGCATCTAAACTCTTCTTAAAGGAGTCCAGAGTAGGTGCTTGCACTACCTTTGGAGGGAGCCTATTCTAGGACTTGGGGGCTCGTACAGTTAAAGAACTTTTTCCTTATGTCCAACCTAAAACTGTCTTGCATGAGTTTGTGAGCACCGGACCCTGTCATCCCTTGGGGTGCTCTGGTGAACAGACATTCCCCCAGATCCTGATGCACACCCCTGATGTACTTACAGGCTGCCACCAGGTTACCCATGAGCCTGCACTTCTCCAGGCTGGAGTCCCATTGCTCTCAGTCTCTCTTCATAAGGCCTTTTTACAGGAATTCATGATCCTGTCCTCTGATCAGGCGCATGGCTCTCCTCTGGACTGTCAAGCGTCTCCACATCCTTCTTAAATTGTGGAGCCCAAACATTTGAAGGTGTTTTGTAATTTTCCCTCGAGCATGAGAATAGCAATGTCTAAAAGTGGCTGTTTGGTGAAAAATGTAAAATGTTCTTCTACATGTGTTCATCTGTCTTTAATTTTTTTCCTGTAATCATAGAGTCTGGTATATAGCTATATTCAAGTTTCACTATAATAATTTCCATGAGAGGATCTGGTGCACTGGATATATGCAATGTTTGTTAATGGTGGACACATCTACACTCGGTATTATTGTGCCTGAATGAACTGCGGAGCTTATTGCTCTGTAGTTTATTGCTCCTGGGCATGCTGTTTGAATGTGCACCTGGGAGCAATTAACTCCAGAATAATAAACTGCAATTTATTCAGGTACAGCCCAAGGAGCCAGGGTGGAGCAGCCACAGCTCCCAGGGAACTCCTGGGGTCAACACACTGGGGCACACAGAGTTTTTTAGTCCACAGCAGGATGTTAGTTAAATTAACTGCAGGGTAAATTCGTTTTTTTCTGTCATAAATGGGGCGTATGCTTTGATGCCAAGATATTTACTGCACAGTTAATTAAGCAACTGTAATTAGTAAACGTCTCATGTACACACACCCAGTGAGGGGAAAACACAACTGCAAAGAAATAGCAGTTTTTGTGCTTACAAGAAGGAGGGTATGGATAATTTTCTTAACTTTTTTAGGAAATGGAGGAGCAAAGCAAATTTGAAATAACAAAAATTGTTTACAATAGGTTAAATAAAACAAGGTGATCCTTCAGGAGTTTTCCAAAGTATCAGAGATAGGGAACTGATACCAGATTAAATCTAATGTAGGGAACAGCAAGATTGTTCAGTTTAGAAAGGGCAATCTGATCTATTCATACATAGTGATAGCTTAATGAATTGCAGCATTTCCAGCAGATATATCTAGGTGTTTTAGTTCACTGGAAACATCTGTTCTTCTTCAATGTGCTTAAAAATAAATTTTTAAAAAGGATTATATTAAAAAGAAAAAGAATAAGATCGGTGGTATGCCCCATAATAGATTATTCAGTTCTGATCCAAACTGACATAGCAGGAATTGGACATTCAGACACTGGCAAAGGAAATGATCTGAGAAAAAGAAAGGCTTCCATATGCAAATAAACCGATAAGAATAGGAATCCTTTCCTTAGAGAAAAGTAAGAAATGGCATGACAGATGTATATAAAACAATGAGCGGTACAAAAAAGGTCACTTATGTGACATATAGGCCCCTGTGCAAATAACTTAATTACATGACATCTTTCATCTTTTAAGAGGGAAGAAATGTAGCACTGTGTGAAAAGAATAACTTATAAAAAAATAACACATAATTAAGTTGTGGTATTCAAATTATAAATGGGGAGTGAGGGAGTGAGGAGACATTTTCGGAATTCCAAAACAAAACATATGCATGAATATCAAGTAAATAATTATAAATAATTATATTGGAGAAGCTGCAACTGTCTCAGCCATGTATCCTGTCCTCAGCCAGGTTTTGCACTACCATGGACATCTGTGTGCCTGGGAGGCAACTGCACTCAGAAATGGGACAGCTCTCCCCACCTTGTGGAGATTAGTGCCATTTTTCTAGTACTTGTATGTATTAGTACTAGCAAATGACACATTAGACAAATTTAATGTGCACTAATTGACACTGATGCTTTACTGTGTGGTAGACTAGGCTAATGCACAGTAAATCATCTTGTATAGATGCACCCACTGAGCATTGAGTTCAAGTTTCAGCAGAATACAGATAGGTTGTAATGAGCCATAAAACCACTAACTAACACTGCTACTAATCACCCTGCATTTTTACAGGTAATAAATTTCCTCTCCCTTCTTGAATATTTTTACTCTTCCATTAGCTAGCTGCCTAGTCTATCATACTACCTGTTCAGACCTCTTCACTTCAAGCTCAAAACCCTCCTCCACCTCTCCAAGGAGACTGTTTGTATTTACATGGATTCTTCTTTCTGTTATATAGTTCAGCCAGTGTCTCCTTCTCTAGACCTGAGGACTGTTACTTGACATCAGAAAGCTTGTCAAAGAGCCCTCCTAACCATATAGATTGTTCAATTAAATATAACCCCAAAAAATCCTTACCTATCATCCACATCCTGACCCATCATGGCTACAACTCTCCAACACTTCTATATCCTTATATTCATTCTCAAATTTTTGGTTCCTAATGTGATTATGAACCATTGCCTGTACCCAAAACACAAAACTAAAACAATCCCCACCTGCAAAACACAACATTTCATGCAGCCCTTTATTTATGAGCAAAACATAGATCTGGCCATGTTAACAGCTGCTGTCACACAGTGTGCTATGACTGACAGGGACAGCAGTTGCCTCCGAGGTACAAAACCAATGGTGGTCCTATTGGTGTTACAGCAAACTCCTTGACCTGGAAGATTGTAGCAGTTGCAGATGTTAAATTTGCACCACAGTTTGTCTAGATCTGATTGTCTTCTGTCCTTGCAGGACAGTTCTACGAAGCTGCATCCTAGAATATGAAAACTTTATGCCTGAGGCTCTATGTCACATTCCATAGTCTGGAATGTGTCACATTCCATAGCCAGAGATTCTGTTTATAACCAGACAGTGATTTCTCCAATGTTGTTTCCCAATTGTTTCCTTCTAGTGAGCTGCATAGCTGTCTAGAAATGAGTGGACTTCAAATTCCTTCAGCCACCACTGGAAGCATCTATTTGAGCCTTTCTTCTTTTCTTTTACATATGAATGTGAGGCCATAGAACAGGATGCAAGAAAAGAACTGATACAAGGTTAGCAGCAGAAATTGCTATTTTTTTTTAGCCCTGAGTCTAAGAAGACATCAAAGTCTATCAGACTTAAGCATCATTGTTTTCTGAGTGTATAAGCATATTATACGCAAGAGTATTAAAAATTTCCTTTTGCCTTGATTCACGGTGAAATCCAATTCACCTTTGAGATCACACACACACACACATACATGCACTTATTATTATTATAGCAATTATTGTTTCTGCTCACAGGGATAGAGAAAATCCCAAATGTAGGCCTCTGTTTACGAACTGATCTTTTGCATGAAGGGAAAATCATATCTGCCTGGTCAATTCTCCATCTCTGCACAAAAACTCAAATCAAACAAGCATCAATATAACTAGCACCTATTATCTCTTTGTTAATAGTGTTATGAAGTGAAGAGTGGAACTACTAAGCCGGTGGACCAATCATTATGTTAATCATTAGTGAATAGATTCAGATTTGTTTACATAATCATTCAGGTTTTGTTGGATGGAAACACATTTTGCTTAACAATCTTTGCAGTTTTCTACTTAAGAAGTTTTTTTATTAGCATGCTG